TTAGTTTAGGTTATACCGGCGATCCCTGGTGGATCCTCTTAGGCCTATTGGCCCATTGTGTTACCGTATATGTAGGAAAAATTCAAAGATTAAAACCACCTAGAACCTTTGGCGTAGCATAAAATGCTATTTAGCATCAGGTCTTATGGCGGTCTTGATTCTCCGTATATTATTTTTGAACTGTTAATATCAGGCATTATACTTAAACTCTATCAAATTTTAAAGGCAGACTTTTGTGCTAGATCACTGAGCCAACGTTGAATTTTTAAACTTTAAGCTTTGTTAAATGAAGTTTTTTTTTCTCAGAGACAAATATTATAAATATATACAAACTAATGTTTACTAATAATAGGTACTATAAATAAAAAAAAACCTAATAATCATTAAACTAAACAGTCTGTGCTATATTACTAATATTATGTTTTTATATATTATATTATATTCTATTATATTATATATAATATTCTATTATATTATATATAATATTCTATTACATTATATATAATATTATATTATATATATTAATATAAATTAATTAAAGAAGTATTTTCTATTTTATTTTATAGCAAACACCTGTGCTTTTGTCTGGTAACAAGGAACAAAAGAAAAAGTATTTAGGCCGTCTTTTAGAAGAACCACTCGTAGCTGCTTATGGTGTTACAGAACCTGGTGCTGGTTCAGATGTAAATGGTATTAAAACACGTGCTGAGAAAAAAGGTGATGAATATATACTAAACGGACAAAAAATGTGGATTACAAATGGTGGTGTAGCCAATTGGTATTTTGTTTTGGCACGCACAAATCCCGATCCAAAGGCATCAGCAAGTAAAGCTTTTACAGGTTTTATTGTTGAACGTGATACTCCCGGTGTAACACCCGGTCGCAAGGAATTAAATATGGGACAACGTGCCTCTGATACGCGTGGCATTACATTTGAAGATGTACGTGTACCTAAAGAAAATGTTTTGATCGGTGAAGGTGCTGGTTTCAAAATTGCTATGGGTACATTCGATAAGACACGTCCTCCAGTAGCAGCTGGCGCTGTTGGTTTGGCACAACGTTGTATGGATGAAGCACTTAAATACGCTTTAGAACGCAAAGCTTTCGGTACACCAATTGCTCATCATCAAGCTGTGCAATTTATGTTAGCTGATATGGCAATTGGTGTTGAAACATCCCGTCTTGCATATCGTTTATCAGCTTGGGAAATTGATCAGGGTCGTCGTAATAGTTACTATGCTTCAATTGCCAAATGCCATGCAGCCGATGTGGCTAATAAAATTGCTTCCGATGCTGTGCAAATATTCGGTGGTAATGGTTTTAATAGTGAATACCCCGTAGAAAAATTAATGCGTGATGCAAAAATTTATCAAATTTATGAAGGAACATCACAAATTCAACGTCTAATCATATCTAGGAATATGTTTGAAGCCGCCAAGGAATCAGGTTTATAGATAGATATTAGTATTAAAAAAAAGTCATTAATTTTTTAATGGATAATAAATAAGTAAATATTTTTTAATAAAATCTGTATTTTGTTTTTTTTTTTTGTTCATAAATTGTACATACTAATCAGGTAAACACAAATATTTAGTCAAAGCTATAGAATTTTTGACATGTTCTAATTTTTAATACAAAAATAGATTGTTTAATATATTGATAAGATATAAAAATTTCAAGCACACAAATTTATTTAATCAAAAGTAAAAAGTTAACAAAAAATAAAATTTATTAACTTGGTGACATAACAAACATAATCAGGAATTTCTTTTCGGAATATTTAATTTTTATATAGAATGACAAAAATAAATAAAATAAATTTATATGCCATATAATAATGATGCTCTCTCAGTTTGTCAGAAAATTGTTTGCATAGAAATATGTTATGTATTACAACGACGTTCTTCTGAATATTGCTAGACCAATTTTCGTTATGAGGGCGATCCCTAAGAAAGACAAATATAATCAGTGACCCCAATTCACAGAAATAGTGACAAACTCTTTAACTGCGCATAACTAATATTAGTATTTTCCATTAATTTTATAACTTTTTTACAATTTTAAGTACATCAAGTTCATTATTCAATATTAAAAACAATTGCATAGTTAACAGAGGCTTAATAATATATGGCTTATATAAAGTAACACCTTAAGTCGTTTATTTTAAAACGATCACTAATTTTTGATTAGTAACGTATTTTTATTTTATTTACATTATTTAGACTTTATTACATATTGAAATATGCGATACATCAACAAAATATATTCTAATTGATTTTCGAAGAAATTGACAAATTAATTAAACTTTCACAACAAATTCTCAATAATCGAAACAATAAATATTAATAAAATTAAAGAAATAAAAGTAAAGAAATAATAAAGAAATAAAAAAAAAGTTATTTTAAATTCAATTTTTTTTTGATACAATAAAAATGTTTATACAAAGATTTTTTACAGAATTTTTTTTTCTCATTTTTTATTTTTGTATTTTTAGTGTAGTTAGTGAGCATTATTTTAATTTTTTCCTCTTTCAACTCTGTATTTTAAATGCAGTTAATTAGCATTTATTTAGTTTTTTTTCCATACTTTCTTTTATATTTTTTTTTATGTTAACTGGCAATTTGACTTCTGTTTATTTTATGTGTATAGTTCAAAAAGTTTTCACAAAAAAATAACCGTGGCAAAAACTACAAATGAAGATAGAAAAAAATTTTTATAACAGATAGTGAACGAAGTGATAAAAGATTTGGATCTATTCGAGGAAAACAAACCGAAAGATTACTCAATGGAATAATTGTTCCTTGACAGCAAAAATTTGTATCACATGTTTATGGTGAATTTCTCAGCTATTGTTGTGAAAGATCAATTTTTTAGCGACTTAAATTACGGGAACATACTATTGAAAAAGCTATTATTGTCTCGTTAATGTTCAACTAATCTGTATATTTTTAAAATAAAGAGAAAGAAGATCTCTTTAAAAGGCTTTAAAAAAACAACAGAGACGATCATGGAAAACTATAAAAAAACAAAACACATGTCTGCTAGTTTAGTGTCTTTAAGGTTTATCAAATAGCACATGTTCATCGAACTCAACAAGTGGCTCATCGACGTAGACGTTACGGACATACTAACCTAAGTTCAATCGATCTTTGAACACACTCTTTTTAAAATGAGCACGTTTCTCTGCCTTAACTCAGACTGGCTTCAATTTGAAACCCATCCATCCCCAATGTATTTTTACTCTTAAACAATACTTTTCGCTCTCACACTATCTTTACCTATCCACATCTTTATTCATGTATACGTCATTGAAATTCCTTTTTTATCTAATTTATTTTATTAGATCTTCACTCGTAACAACAGCGGAGAATTACATTAAGACTGAAAAGTTTTCGGAAATTCTCATTTAAAATTCGCGCGCTGTATATTTTTCGATATTTTAAGTTTATGTAGTTTGGCAGCACTGTCCTTAATTACTATGCCAAAAATGAGCTCGATCTGTCAGACAGTTCGTTTACGGCAGCTGTTGAAACCAGTTCACCTCAGTAGTGCGTTGCGAAATGTCTTCGACGGTCGTACGACCGTCCTGGAAGGCTTTGTACCACTCATAAACTTGAGTTTTCGATAAAACTGATTCCCCATAAGCCTTTTGTAGCATTCGCAACGATTCTGCACACGAAATTTCGTTCGAAACACAAAATTTGATGCAAACTCTTTGTTCAATATTTTTTTCCATTGTTTTTTTCGCAACGCCCTACTGAGGTGAACTGGTTTCAACAGCTGCCGTAAACGAACTGTCTGACAGATCGCGCTCATTTTTGGCATAGTAATTAAGGACAGTGCTGCCAAACTACATAAACTTAAAATATCGGAAAATATACAGCGCGCGAATTTTAAATGAGAATTTCCGAAAGCTTTTCGTCTTAATGTAATAGGTTAGGTTAAAAAAGCGATCCTAAGCATCCACGTAGAAGTATTGGGCCATTTAGGAGTCTTAAGCATCCTATTAGAACTATATTACCTAACAAAATTTGAAAGGATTAAAACTTCCTGGTTTTAATAAAGTTTACGATGCTAGTAAGAGAAGTCGTATAGGATATTATGACACTCTAGAAAGTATATTATACAAATAATGGAACAAAATATTAATATTTTTTATTTAAAATTTTGCGGTTATAGTGAGGAAATGTTTAAATCATTAACAATTTTAAATCAATCGACTTTTTGGTCTGACAATTGTTCAAATATTGTCAAATATTTTTTATCTTAAATTTTAATTGTAAATATTTTTAGCAATTTTGTTTAATAATATCTTCTTTTATAAAAGCTTTTATATATATATCTTATGCCTTTCACAATTAAATTTAAACTATCATAAACATTTATAATTTATAGCATTATTTATAAAAACAAGAACAATATTATAATATTGTTATTAACATATATACTAAACGATTAAATTATAAATACCTAACACGACTAATAAATAAACATATAAAACAAACATTTATCAACATACCCAATGCTATCAGGAAATCAAATCGGTCTCATTTAGATAAAGAATTAAATTATCCCCAAATGAAATATTTTTTGCTTCATCACACCAATGGTTTTGCCACAAAGAACATAATTTTTGTTTATAATCACTTTCTTCACAATCACTTGATATCGTTAAAGACATAAAATTTGGAAAATGTTCCAGCTTCGATAAACTTTGCAAGCGCTGTTCATCAATCATACCATCGCAATTTACAGCCACCAATTTACGCAATTGCGGAAGCTTTTCCAAAATAAATTGTAAGCTTAAGGCACTCACTCTTGAATTATCTGATATATCCAATACCTCCAAATCATTAGCCCTCTCTAAGCATTGAATAATTTTATAAATTTGTGTATCACTTAAATTGCATCCAGCGAATGCAATATGTTTAAACTTTTCACAAGTTCCGCTTTCGAAGAATTCAACGAAACGATCAACAGTCGCCGGGTGATTTTTATCATTTTTTTCAATAACTTTAATGTAACTTAAATTTAGATATTGCAATCGACTAGGATTCAATTTAGTCAATAAAATTCGTATTGATTCATCCGTTAGATTATTAAAGCTCATATTGAATTCGGTAAGCTGATAATAGCACAAATCATAATCGTATAAACTTGTTAAATTGCATTGTGATAAGTTAAGCTTTTGTAGTGTTTTACCTGCTACACTATTACAAAATTTGTCTAATAAACGCAAACTGCTATTACCTAACGGATTTTGGCTTAAATTTAGTTCTGTAAAGTTTTCTAATTTATCTGCAGAACTTAGTATTGATTCCAAACCTTCAACAGTTATAAAATTACATTTTAGATTTAGCGTTTTCAGCTGTTTCAATGTTGGTAACGATTTTGCCAATTGAACACAGCCTTGGTTTTGTATAAAATTATTTGATAAATCGAGCACTTGAAGATTTGTTTGATGCATCACCGCTTTAAAAAGTGGTTCAGTTTGTTGGGAATTAAGCCAAAAATCATTTAATTCTATAAGATTGGAGGACTGTGCACGTTCTAGAACAGTTTGTACATCCTGATTGACTTCTGAAATAATACAAAAAACAATTATAAAAGTTCACTATTATAAACAAATATTTAGAGTTTAACCTTTATTTAATTGAAGACACATTTCATCGTATCTTTGTGGTAATGGTGATAATTTCCACTCTAGCACAGTAGCCAATATCATATTTTGCTCAACCGCTACAGTAACAGAATCCGTTTCTTCATATGCAAATCCATCTGCCGTTTTTAAACGGAGCACCGGTTTTAAGCCTACTAAACTATAAACCAAATTAATAATAGAACCATTTTCTTAAATGTAATATTACTAACTTATAATAACGTCTTGCTGCCTCATCGGCCAACCAACGTATATTAACGTCATTTAATTTTTTTCGTTCTATAGGTATCAATAACAACTCATCTTCTATTTTGACTTTAAAAGAAACCGTTGTTAGTATAGGTGCAGTTTGTACTTTAATAGGTGATGATTTCGGTGAGATTAGAAGATGAATTGATGTTGTAGTAGAATCCGGCTCAGTTGTACGTTTGTTTGAAGTAGACATTAGATTACTATCTCTTGAATCTTCGCTTGAAACGGGACTGTCACTACGAAAACGTAGAAAACCATTATCTATTAAGGAGGTTTGATGTTTCGGTTTCCTTTGTTTAGTCGTTGAAATACTTGAACTACTACTACTCATGCTTGAAGAACGTGATAAACTTAAGCCCTTTTTCTGTTTTTGTTTATGCTGAGAACTCATAGCATTACCAGCACTTAGTAATAATTCATAGGCATCTATTTCTGGATCATAAGTATCAAGATTTACTATTACATTTGCGCATTCTTGAGATTTTTTTGTTGGGGAACGCGTTTCTACAGTATTTGTATTGAAAAAACGACGTTTCTTTTTTTCTGGCCCAATATCATCTATTAACCAAGTATCATCATCTACATCTTCTGCATCTAATAGAGCAGAACGTTTTTGCTTAGCAACATTTAATGAACTTGTAGGGAATGTATCAAATGTGTCTTCATTTACATTATTTACACGATTAGGGTGCTTAAGATGTGCCATAACATTTTTATACTCTTTGGCACCACTCACACTTGTTTGACGAGATGAAGATTTATTTGGAGACTGGAATAATTTACAAATTTACTATGTCAATATATTAACTAGTTATTGAATATTTTACATTTACCTTTAAAATAGTTCCACTACCACCTGATCGGTTGTGATTGCTCCGTCTCATACTAGTACTTGCCACCACCAAATCATTTTCTTCATCAGAAATACCTTCGCTGTTAACCTCCACATTTTCATTTGTCAATGGTGTCACATTTTCACTCCAGTTTATACCTACTTTCGTTATAGGTTTCAACAATGTTTGTCTTATTTGTACATATTGACATTGTTCTCCTTCTGTTAAATTAGCTGAACGACGCCATTTATCAAGTCCGTTTAAACAAGTTTCCCCAAAATCAGTTTTGAGTGTTGGGTCAGCACCTCTTTCCAGTAAAAGTTCCACAACATCGAGAAAACCATTAGAGCAAGCATCATACAAAGGTGTTATCCCATCACAACTGGTGCCTCCTTTATCATTGATCGCTACTGTGGCTCCTCGATCTAATAATAATTCTACAATATCGCGAAAGCCATGATTACATGCTTCATGCAATGGTATCCAACCAGCATGATCACGAACGTTTACAATATGACCCTGATCTATTAAGCGTCGCACTAATTCCAAATTACCAGCAATACAAGCCTGATGCAATTGCGTTTCTCCTTTATTATTTCTCTTAATTGTTAAACAACGTGTACCTCTCGTAACACGATGTGGTCTAGGTTTTTCGGTTTCATCTAAATCACTCATATCGGAATCTGTTAAATCATCTAAACAGATATCATCTCCAAATTCTGGTGTGTTTTCATTGTTTTCTGCGGGTTCAGATTCGCTATCACTTTCATCTTCAATGTTACTAATGTCTAAACCTGTAAATTAAAAACTATTATAAATAACTATATAGATTGTACATAGATTGTACAGAATTTAGAATATATTTATACCTTTACTTTCAGCTTCTTTTCTTAAATCATCAACTAGAAAATCCATATTATGTTTCAATTGTAATTTTTTTAAACGCGCATATGCGATCTTTTCCAGCTTGATGCAATCTGATTTTGAAGCAAACATTTTAGCCTTATCGTAAATATCTTGTATAACCCAATATGATTGATTTTGCATTTCACATATATCTGCAATGCTGCATAAGGTTGAAAAAGCTTCAGCTGGCTCATTTTTATTCAATTCAAATTCTAACCACAGATATTCTAACGCTTTATCATATTCTTTATTATCCTTATAGGTTTGATAAAGGCTCACATAAATAGGAATTAAGCTTCTACCAGTTTCCGAATTCAGTTGGGCACATTTTAGCATTTGATTGTAGTACTCCAAGGCTTTAACGTAATTGTGCAACTGACAGCAAGCATCGCCCAATTTTTCATATAAGTTTTTTCGATTTACATAATCCAGAGAGCTCATTGTAACTAACTCATCCAAAATCTGGCATATTTTAACCACTATAAAAATAATATTATTGTTTTAAATAATGTACAAAAATTCTTATACCGTGTTCCCACTTGTCTCATTTAGACAGTTTTGCTCATTAAGGCCGCTAGTGTAATTTACAGTACAAAGAGCTTTCATACAAATAAGTTTATTATAAATGAATCAACTGATTTAAGGCAAAAAATTTCGCATACATCCCTTAAAAATAATTTGCCCACAAAAATAATTATACCTATGTCAAATGTAAACAAACTACTTTACATGCATAAATCAGCTTATGACAATGGAAACGACCAAACCTTAATTTCATTAACAAAAAAAGCTTTAACTGCTGTGGAAACATGATATTAGTCAACAGTTTTAAAAGCTATATAAATATTATAATTTTAAAACTAATATAAAATAAATAAAATTGTTTAGTTAATATCAGTGTTAAGTAGAAACTAAAAATTGTGGTTCCATATCTGAACCGAACAATATCAAATTCTAGAAATATATTAAATATTGTAAATATAATATTATTTACATAATCATCAAAATCATCTAATTTAACATAATAATCTAATTTTTATGGCAGTTTTAAGTCCAATTTCGAACATTCTAATATAAATTCGAAGTCGTTTCTGAACTCATCAATGTACAAAATATCATACGTTTATTGATTAAAGTAATAGGTATACTTCAAAAAATATATTAAATATTGTAAATATAATATTATTTACATAATCATCAAGTTTTTATCTAATTTTTATGGCAATTTTAAGTCCAATTTCGAACATTCCAATATAAATTCGAAGTCGTTTCTGAAGTCATCAATGTACAAAATTTCATACATTTATCGATTAAACTAATATACTAGTTTACGTTTAAACATATAGACAGGTTTTGGATATATACAATTGGATAGATACGTTTTTTCCCTCTTAAAGGAGCTAATACATTCATTAATCCCTCTTTGTGGGACTATAATATAAGTCACCGATTTCGAACATTCCAATATAAATTTGAAGTCGTTTCTGGAGTCAACAATGTACAAAATTTTATATGTTTATCTCTTAAATTAATATAATAGTTGAAATTTAAAAGTATATACAGGCTGTTGGTATATATCATTAGATAGATTCGTTTCGTCCCTCTAAAAGGACCTCTAAAATATTCATTAATCCGTTTTAGAGAAACGATAATATATGTCACCGTGCTACAAACACCTTCGTCTATAAAAAATATTCTTTTACCTTTGTAAGTAATTGGAATAAAAATCACCAATGTGCTTCTTTTGAAGAGGGTGTGCGATATGTTCATCAAAAATATATCCGTAAATTCTTATATTACATACATATAAGCGAATTAAAATTATGGAAACAATAACATATGGACTCAGGCTTTTCGCAAAAAAAAAAAATACTAATACAATAAAAAATTTAACTCACCAACTCGTAAAGATTTTTCGATAGTATTACGATCATTTTCATCAGGCGTATTTTTCTTGTAGGCTTTTGTCAATATTTGTTTTGCGCTTGCAAAATCACCTTCTTTAATTAATATTTCCGATTTCGTAATCAACGTTTCACATATTCTTTTAACTTTATTCGGTAGTCGTTTTGCAATATCGAGTGCCAAATTACAATAACGCAACGCTAACGTCGCGTCATTCTTTTTATAAAAATAAAGCAAGCTCATCGATATATAACATAAATGTGTCAATTCGAAAATGTCATTTGATACGCTGATTTTGATAGCTTTTTCTATATAAGTTATAGATTCTTCAAAATCTTCCATATGTTCCTTAACAACGCCAATATTCAAGTAACAACGAGCCTGCATATCCAACTGTTCTAATTTCGTTATCTGACCAGATAGTCTGAAACGACCAGATAGTTATTTAATATAAATAACTTATATATATAGCAATAAATTAATTACATACTCTTTAGTAAGAAGCAAGCTTTTTAGAAATGCTTTTTCAGCTTGTTTCAATTGGTCCATACCACCTTTTGATGAAGTTTCACTAAGACTTTGTCCATAAAGTAACTCTGCTCTGCCTAATGTGGCATACGCACGTTGTTCCTCTACTTTGTTGTGTAAATTTTTAACAATTTCTAATAAATATCTTTAATTATTACATCTTTTTTTCGTAATTTATATACACAAAAACTCTTACTTAAATATGTGTTTATATGTTGCTTAGCGTTATCAAATTCGCTTAATAGCATACACATTTCACCGATCATACGATGTGCCTTTGCCATTTCGAGTTTTTTATGTAGCCGCTCATACAGCTCCGCTTCTTGCTGATACTCTTGTGCGGCCTGTTGATACTTGCCATGTTGATTATAGAAATCACCTAAATTATTGCAACTGACTGCCAATTGTTCAAGATTTCCATCATTTGCGGCTTTTTCCTTACGTTTAATGTATTCTGAAAATGGTATATCACGTTATAGTTGATAAACTATAAAGTGATGAAAGCAACTTACTTTTTTCTTCCATTTTATTTTTATTTACATTTATTTAAAAACTTCTTATATATTTAAAATAAACATTTTTGACGAATTCACTTTGTTTACAATTTACATTTTCAAGCTGTGAAAGGCGCATTTCGCAATTTAAAAAGTGTTGCCAAAATCTTTTGAGTGCAGATTTTTGCTACCATTTTACAGTATTGTATTTTTTAGTAACCTTTAATGAAATTATATTTTCAATTTTTAAATCTTAGGAAATAATGCGCTACCAATTTAAATTACAACAGATTTACATAGTATGATTAAGGCGAAAAAGTAAAACTATTTTATATCACAATTGTTTACAATATACATTTCTTCTTACTTTTGTGTTGCATATATCATACGTCTCCCATATGGGCATGTAAATACAGGGCCATGGTAAGGAACGCTTGTCGTAAGACGCGACTAAAATCAAAAACGCTCTATGTGAACCTAAATAGCGTGAAATGCACATTATATTTATACCAAGGCTCATCAGCAAAGTCTATAAAACCAGACATATGGTTCGGGGTGGGCCTAATACCTAATACTACGTTTATATTGTGAGATTAACAGTACATTAAAGTAAATTCTTTTACGATATTAGAAGAACAGATTATCAAAATCTATTTAAAAAAAATATTAAAAATTTGAAAATGTCTGAGTGAAATTTTTATTTATTTGTTTTATTTATAATTATAACTAAAATTTGTAAATTTTTTGTTAAAGAACTAATTATTAAATTTATATTAAATGTTTTTTTTTTCATTTTAAGTAAACGTAGTATTAGGTACTTGGCCCAGTCCAAACCATATATCTCGTTTTATCACTTTAGATGCTTATGTTTGCCAAAGATATAGACTTTGCTGGTTTTATAATTATTTTCTAAAATTGGACTCAGGAGAAATTTTTTTAATGAAAAACTCTTAAAAATTTTGGAGTCATTACATCAGCCCTGCGCTCTAACATAGACGTACATAAATCTATGTCGAAACTCAAAAATGATGTTGCACAATTATTCATTTATATTGTTCATGTTCATTGTTCACACAATGTAAAAGTCGTATTAATCTCACAGTATAAATATAGTGTATTTCTTGTTTGTGTTGTTAATGTAGGAAATTTATTTCAAAGACCAATTTTTGGAGAAGTAAACTCAGTATATTAAACTTTAAAAAAATTTATTAACAAATTGTGTTGTATAAGAAATCGTAATCGAACTATCTACAATCTTTGTATATATGTTTTTAAAATATAAATTCTGTTAACATATATAATTAAAAAAATTCATCTGTCAAAAAAATCTGTGTTTTTTCAACATACAACTTGACAGTTGCACTATCACGTAAGTTATCGATTATTATCGTATCGTATGCGTGCAGTCAATTTTTCTTCTGCAGATTTTTTGTCGCTTGTTGGAGAAAAACCTTTAAATGTATGTTAGTAGCATTTAGCGTGAAAAATTAAATTAATATTTAATAAATGCAAGTTTATTGATTTTAAATGTAAGCTAACAATTTAAATGATAAAAAAACGTGAAAAAAGCAGTGTAAATTGTTTTAATGAAGAAAAAGCATGTGAAAAAGATTTAAAATGGAATGAGTTGTATAAATTTTACAATATTTGTCTGATTTTTTCTAGATTTAATTGTGTTTAACGCATACTATTGACGTCAGTGCAATAATAAAATAAATAAAATATTCGGAATATCCCTTACCCTACCGGCACCGGTTGGGAGTTCGTGTTTTGTTGGTAGGTATAAGTGTGCTTTTAAAAGTGGGTGTTATACTAACAATTATTGATTTTTCTATTGATAAATGAATTTAGATACTAAATATGGCAAATAATAATTACACTGGTTTTGGTTATGGTGGAACGCAGTACAATGCGGGACAGGTAACCTATCCTGCAGTTACCAATGCTACGTACGCTAATGCGGCTGCTTATCAATCTGCTGTTGCTGCTGGACAAGGAGGGTATGCAGCGGCCGGTGCTTCGGGTGCTAGTGGATATGGTTACGCTGAATACAATCGAACAATGCAATCATATGATACTAGCAAAACATTTTATCAACAAGCACCGTCCAGCTACGCCACTGCTCCAGCAGTAACAGTGAGTAAAACGCATTATTCAGCACCGCCTGTGAAAAATATAAATGCAGGAGTAAAATCAGCAACCAAGGACAAAAATAGTTCCAAACAACAATCAGCAACACCAATTGTTGCTACAACCGCCGCGGCAACTGCATATCCCGGTTATGATGCCACTTTGTATAGTGCAGCGTCCATGTATGTTGCACAAGGTACAGCAGTTAAACCAAATGTTGCTGCTGCTGGTTGGCCGCAATATCGCAATGGCAAAGGAGGAGCAGCACGTGGTCGTGCTAAACCACCTCCGCGTCCACAACAGTTACACTATTGTGAAGTATGCAAAATTTCTTGTGCTGGCCCACAAACTTATCGCGAACATTTGGAAGGTCAAAAGCATAAGAAACGTGAAGCATCATTAAAAATGCAAGCTAGCGCGCAGACAACAGTTCAAAATCGTGGTAATAATTATCATTGCGAATTATGTGATGTTACCTGTACTGGTACTGACGCTTATGCTGCTCATGTACGTGGTGCTAAACACCAAAAAGTTGTAAAATTGCACCAGAAACTCGGAAAGCCTATACCTTCTGATGAACCCAAAAAAATGACTAAAATTAATTTCGTACCAGCGGCTGGCGGTGCAGCTGAAGGTGCTGAAGGTGAAAGTAATAAAGCTGAAAGTTTAAATGAAGCAGAAACTGAAGGTAAGTATTATAAATACATACTAATGAATATTAAGTGACGAAATATTTTGAGTTGTAGATAATCAAGAAAATGCTGATAGCATTGGTGAAAACACTGACAACATAAAGCCTGTTGGTGGTGAATATATTGAAGAAATTAAAGATGAGGAGGGTAAAATACTTAGCTTCAATTGTAAATTATGTGATTGTAAGTTTAATGATCCGAACGCCAAAGAGATGCATATGAAAGGCAGACGACATCGTTTGCAATATAAACGAAAAGTGCAACCAGATTTGGTTGTTGACTTTAAACCCACACCGCGCCAGAGGCGTTTAGCTGAAGCTCGCGCTCAACGAGCACTAATGCACTCTCACCGTAGTGGAAATGGTGGATTTAATGATGAACATGAAGGCGGTGGCATGTATTGGGGTGACGAACAAAGGCGTAGATCTCAGTATGATGATGAATACGATTATTCTAATTGGTTGGCACGTAGTTTTGCAGGTAAAATTTTTTACTTTAAGCATAGTGTTAACATACGTTTTGCACGAAAATGGATTTTTATATCGAAATAAAACTCCATTTTAAAAAAAAAATGTTCTGCTACCTCTGTGGTAACTATGATATGGTTATGAGGCCGTGACAGTGACAAAGCTCTAAAAGCTGGAGTTTTAAGCATAAAGAAAAATATGCAGATATGCGTTTTATGTGCATTTTGTGTGTGTAACAGTTGTGCTGGCTTTAGAATTTATATTTTACAGTAAACTATAATATTTTTACTATCACAATTAGGATCTCAACGCGGTTTCGGTGGTCGCATGGGTAATGGACCACCACCATTCTATGGAATGATACCAGGTGGAGCTAATGTACGCCGTCCTGAAAGTACTGATGACCGTCATGCAATTGCACGACATGCTGAAATTTATCCTAAAGAAGAAGAACTGCAAACAATTCAACGTATTGTTTCACATACTGAAAGAGCATTAAAGTTTGTATCAGATTCCTTGGCAGAAAACCCAGATGAAAATGGTATTAGTGCCAAGAAAGAAAAGTATGATAATACTCAAATGAAGGATGGTCGCGACAATCAAATGTTATCATTTCAAAAGGAAGCAGACTCTGGAAATATTCGTATTTTAAAAGGAGTTATGCGTGTTGGGTGCCTAGCTAAAGGATTATTACTACAAGGTGATAATATCGTTGAGTTAGTGGTTTTATGTTCAGATAAACCAACTATTGGCCTATTGAAGCGTGTTGCTGCTGAACTACCAGCGAAACTTAAAGAAGTTGCAGGTATGTTGAGCATATTTTTTGTGTTTTAACGATCGATAAAGTAGCACAAAATAAAAACTTTATTGGTGTTTATAGAACATTTGTAATATAGTAAGCCCTTGTGGCAACTTTTTCCAAAGAAATAGCTTAAGAGTATAAATAACCTGATGTTAAAAAAGTTAATGAAATTAGTGGTTAATCGCGAATACTCTTCAATGTTTAAATAAAACACGCGATTAACCCCATTTTGAATTAAGCCAAAACATGATAAAATATTTATTTATTTACTTAGAATTTATATAAATTTCTGCAACTATTTTAACTTTTCGAACTGATCCAAGCAAATAAGCATAAGCAAATAATAAGCAAAAGCTAACTAAATAAATACTTTAATAAAGATAGGCAATTTGTATGGAAAAAGTAGTAATTGTGGTGGAATTTATAGCACTCATGCCTTAATGCAAAAATAAATCGTATTTGGTGTTTTCAGCTCTTTTTCACAGGATATCCGTATGTGGTTAAATTCTAGCGATCTGTGTACGTATTTCTTCATAATATCTCTTGCTTCTGTAGTTTATTGCTGTTTTGTTGCTGGACTGGAAATAATGGTAAAATGTAAACCGACTTTAAGCGAGCGGACAGTACCAAAGGAGTA